ATGTCTAATGGAATTAATATATATATATATATATTATGCCTTGATTCTCGACCCTACTTTGGCATTATACACCACATATGTCCCAAGTGTTTCAGCATTAGCATGCTTAACTATGGAGTTCTTTAAAAAATTCATTGGAAATTTACATTCATACATCACAATTCTTATGTATTACATATTTGAGACACAACATTTTGATATTTCCCTTTATAACATCTTGGTGCCATTAGCTTATGCATGAGAAGATGTATTTCAATTTTAAGGAGACATTGATTTTTTTTTTTTTTTGTAATGTTAAATATTTGAATTATATGCATGTAAATATGAGTTTTTAGGTTTTAAATGGGTAAATACATAAAAAATTAATGATATGTATGTAAATGCCCAACAAGTCAAGTCATCACCCCATCAACCATGCATAAATTCACCCAAACACCTGCATTTGGGAGTTGGCATCATTGCCAATGAACTTATATATGACCTGAGCATTTACACTCATTTCAGCTAGTACAACAAAATACATACCAACTCCTCAATTAAAAAAAACTCCAAAGTTCACAAGAATTTCACAAGCCATCACATATCATATTTCTCTAAAAAATTTCTCCAATTTTCTCCATCACAGAAAAAATGCACAAAGCATAAACCAAAAAAGAAAAAGAAACAATTGAAGGCATTCACAAGAAAATCAAAAGCCACACTGCAAAAATCCAAGGCCATCTTAAAATACATTTCTTTGTATTTCTAAAGAAATTTCAAAAACAAAATTCTCTAAATTTCTATCACATTAAAACCCACATAGCTCATTGAGACAAAAAACCACTGTTGTGTGTGCATTGGGCCAATCTTGTTTATTATTATTTTGTTTGAATTAATTTCAATAAAAAAATAATTAATTTACCTTTTTTTTATTCATCGATGTTTAATTCCCAATAAAAGGTCATCACAAGCTATATTTCTCCACCATAGTACTTCAACTTTCTTCATCACAGAAAAAACACAAAGAGCGTGAAGTACAAAAAAAATTGAAGGCATACACATCAAGATTGAAGAAATGCACAAATAATAATAATAAAAAAAAGGACATTACAGAAAACAACAAAGCTCGGTGAGATAGAGAGAGCGCGAATCACATAGAGCAAATACTGAAGGTAAAAGATAGAATGTACATGAGGACAAAATAAAGCAAAAGAAGAGAAAGTATGAATCGAGCGCTCGCCATAGGTACCAGAGGATGAATAAAATCAAAGGTAGGAAAAAACCATATAGGCTTGATCATTTTTTACTCGAGAGAACCACAGGACTAGGGGCAGTGAAGGAGTTTCATTTGAACGAAACCGCTAAACGTGGGTTCGTGAGGGCTGCGAGTTTCCTTGATTGCCCCCGCCGCTCCAACCAAATGCATTTAACGACTTTTTCATGCCTCGCCACAGCTAAAAAGTTGCCCCAAATGGATCTTAAATCCAAACTACAAAATGAGAAATAAACACCTTGAATATTAAGAATGACTAATAAGAAGAATAGAATGAAAATATTTTACAAAAATTAGATATATTGAGAATCTCCATCTAAGCTTCCAATCTATTGAATAGTAAGAAAAATATCTAATTCAATGCTAAAAGATCTTTACCAATTAGATTTAATAATATGAATAACAAATATTAAAAATAAGGAACAATACACCAAAAGACCTCAGAATTTTCCAATAAATATAGAAAATTGGAGAAACTCTATCTAAGATTTCAATTAGCCAATTGCACAAGCATTCCATCTTTCTAATAAAGAAGAAGAAGAAGAAGAAAACCAAATAGAATATAACCCGAAGAGGTGATGAGAAAACTATCAAACCAACCAATGAGCAACCCTAACAAAAAAGGTTATCAAAGCCCAAAATAAATAAAATAAATGTACAAAACAACGAAAAATCGAGTAAATTAATAAACATATGACAAACAATATCGGTTAAAGTAAAAAACCTAGCAACAAAATTTAATGCAACAACCCTATAAGTGACTTATTTTAAAAAATAGACTAAGATCCTAGGACCAGTTTGGTTGCAAGTACGCTTTAAGTTAAATAAGATTTATAAATCTTGAAAAATTGCTTGGTGCAATTAAGGTTAATCCACTTAACTCCACTTGAATTGTTTCATACTTATTTCAAGATTTAACAATATTCATATTTGATAAATACAAAAACACAAAACCTGCAACAAAGCAAACTACAATCTACCTTCCAAATCAATGCAAAAATATAGAAGATCATACATGTAAGTTTTCGTTCAAAATTCAATTTTACAGGTCGTAAGCAGAAGATTGACTTAAACCTTTCAAACATTGGTCCATTTGAGGTGGCTAAAGTATTCTATAAAATTAGTTATAGAACTTTGAGAAAATTCAGTTTATTTTTAATTGTTCTATGTAATATATACATTTTTCTTTTTTAAAAAATACAAACGTAGACATTTTTTCAGCTATTATATATTAGTAAAATTTGTTTTCTAAAAACTATTCACAATAAAAATGGTACTATATATAGGTGTTTTCTTTGTGAATTTCTCGAAGGAGACACAGATCTCAATAAATGAGCTCTTCTCTGATATCCCCAACACCTCATAGGCACTCTAACCATAAAATGTGCAGCCCACAAAGTCAGATACTTCAGTGGCGATCTTCCTCTCAGTAAAGAGAGGGTAACTCAATTTAAGAATGAACAATCTACAGCTCATCTGTGAAAGAAGCTAGAGCACTCAGACAAATGGAATGTGAAAATGGTCAAAGAGTCAAACAGGACTGTGACAAGAGACAACATAGCAATGAGACAAATGCAATTATGATGCGATCACACCAAAATTTTTCCCTACGCATGACCTTAGGGCACTATGTGATGAGGCTAGTGACAACATGTTTGTTTTTTTTCCTTCCCCTTTAAATCTATTAAATCCATCGAATGATCAGATTTGGTAAATCCGATGTTTAAGTTGAAATGAAGAAAACTTTGGATTTAGTGGGCATCAAATTTAACTTCCTCTTTGTCAAATTTGGTTGGATTTACACTGAAATCAATCTTAAATCCTATTAAAAGAATTGTACCAAACAACCCCTAACTTCCCTCGTACTGTCACACACAACAATACATTAAGGAAATTCATGATTAAAAATTTAAAGAATAATTTTTTATTAGTTTTATATCAAAATTTTGAGATGTTGTTTGGCAAAAATGTGAATTTACACTATAAGATTTATCAAATCAAGTAAATTTGACGCCAAAGATGGAGCTTGCGACATATATGGAGTTTGAGAAACGGTGGAATAAATCCTCCATGCAATCATGTTCATTAAATACAGTTTTATTAGTGAAAGAGATGAAATGCAGAAAAAAATAATCTATAGGGGTATTAGTTTTAATTTTTGTTTCTCTAGTGCTTGGCTGAATTTAGCCAAAATTCAATCCAATAAACCCTAAAGCATGTGCAGCTTCTTAGCTTTTCAGCTGCAGCTTAGCTGCCCCAGGAATCTGCTGCGGGGAAGCTGATATGTTGTTTGTTGCAGTTGTTTGAAAACAACTGTGTGAGAGCTGTTTCTGTCCCTGTTTAGTAATGTTGTTTGTAATAGAATTGTGATAGTCATATATTTGATATATAACACTACAAAGTTGACTATTTATAAAACTAATACACACTTTCTTCTGTTTCTCAAATTTATACTTGAATATACAAATTTACAATAAAAACCGCAACCCATATTTTTTATTCTTATTAAAATCTAATTGGTTAATCGTGACATGTTTAAATGCACCGGTTTTGTAGTTCACCAATTTTGTGTGAGAAAAAAACAAAATTCTCTCTTCGAGCTGTTTGGAAGGTGAATATGCATTAATTTCCAATTAATGACTGAATCTAGGAAATAATAAAACAATTTGAGTGGCATTTATGCAAAATCCCTTCCTATTTATCTTGCCATAGATTAGGATTAATCAAATCTATAAAAAAAAAGTTTCATGAAACATAAAGGATTCAAAGAAAAAATGCAAGAAAAGAAAACAAACTTGAGATAACAAGAAGACTCATTACTTCGTTGAAGATGTTAGGGAGGAGCAAAAGAAAAAAGAGATGAGAGTTTCAATGCTTTTTGAAGGCCGTGATCCCGACAATACCCCCCAAGTTGGCTCCAATCCTAACTAAACTGTGAGGGTCTGGTCTGGATGGCGAAGGTTTGGGAGAAACTATGAGGGGGGAGAACTGGTGTTGTGAAAGGAGAGAGGAGAGGGAACTTCGGCTAGAGATGGTGAGATAGACGAAGAAAGGGGAAGCGAGGCTCAATCCGTAAAAAGCCGAAGGCGAACGTGGGCCGCAGATAGGGGTGTAAACAAGCCGAACACGAGCGAGTCAAGCTCAGCTCATGTTCGGCTCGTTTATATTTCTAGCTCAAAAAGTGTGTTCGTGTTCGACTCGTTTGCTTAACGAGCCGAACACGAGCTGTTCACG